AGTATCTTCAGACGAAGAAAAAGACGCGAATGACAAAGGTGCTCGTAAAAATTGAAGTTTAATGAAAGTTTCCTCGACACCGTTGTTCTTCGACGCAATTATCGGCGTATTTGTAACAAAAGATTCATTGTGCTCGATAATTATTGATTCTTCGCGAACAATTATAATGGAATTCGTGTACAATCGCTTCTCGTTATTGGCGAATTTATTAACGAAAAGGTTAATTTCAATATGCTATTTTTGTCTGCGAGGCAACTGCATTATGCGTTATAAACTAATAGATTTGATGGACATTCTATTATGTTTGTACAGCGAATGTACCTCAATTATCGCGTTCAATAGATCCGAACAGTTCCTGTCTAGCAATTAATTCCGTCATGGAAAACAACCAACTTATTATCATCGTCGTCACATGATGTTCATTAATTTCGATATAAATCGTTGTTTGCAAATACATTGAATTCCTAGCCTCGTTATCCTCGTCTGTTACAGAGTGTGATCTGTTCTAATTATATACTCGCGCGACAATGACAGCAATGAATTCACTTATCACCGTTTATCATGCAACGATCAATTAATACACATCACGGGTGTCATTAATAATATCTCATTTCAAAAAAATGATACAAAAATTTGATTTTTGGGGTAAGGGAAAATGAAAAGGAAAGAAAAATGCGAAGAGCAAGACATCGTCGAGCGAACAATATCGAGTTTATTGGTTGTTGGGCAATCGTTGACAAGAGATAGGATTTTGTCTGTCACAGATGAAATATAAAGGAAATAGAACCGAACGTGAATTGCTTTGCATCGCGTGTGTGCCCCTCGGGGAAATGTGTTTGGGTTAATTTCACGCTTCAGCATCGACGGAAGCCACCACTGCCGCAGCGGACCATTACGATCATGGCACGTCATGCAACCGCCTAACACACTTTATTCGTTCCTAGAATTTGAGTGATTAAATTTAACGAGGGGATAAAGACATTATCTTCGGGAGGATTGTGCTGCTGTCGGTCTACAAGCTCGTTCAAACGAAAACGACAATGGCGACGTTCGTGATTAAATTCGATCCTTCGGAATTTCTGTACGATAAGAGAGGCAAAATACTTGTAGGTGAATATCCACGACGTTAATATTTAACGAAGGAAATACATGGACGATTTAAAACACATTCGACGTCGTTCAAGAGGAATTAACGTTCAGTTGTAGCATTCAACGCTTCATTCTCCAGGACTTGATAATTACGAAAGAGGCGTATTGTATGATACGTGTACAAGACGTCACGTTAATCAAAAATCTAATATTTCTTCTACAAGGATAAAGGAAAAGTACACAAAAAAGGTGAAATATTATTATCTGTCTAAACTTAATGAGGAATACATGTGTACGTATGAAGTGCCTGATTGTACGAAACTACCACCAAACGATGCGAAATTTAACTTTCGATCGAAATTCCAAAAACACTCCCGGAAATCTAGAAGATAAGCCACCGAAATCCAACGTACGAATTTGTCACATAGGTGCTGGAAAAATCGTTTAACCGTTATTCCATTCGGTTGATCCGCGAGCACGTACTCAAGCTCGAGCGCTAAACGTTGGTCGCTTTTTTCAAAATGGCGAGAGACCTTCTCTCTGTGAACACACCTTAACCGTGGTAGAGGGCCCGTACGCATTAGGGTCATACGTGACGATGCATTCACGGGACCGGGAAAGTTTGGTAAACAGCGATGCATAATTTTTCAGTAGAGCGGCAAGAGGCGGGAGGGGAGGGGGAGGGGCGAACTAAAACCGAAGAGCAAGTGAAACCGGCGAGGTAAATCTGGTAATTGAGTTTTATGCGATCGCACGTCGCGTCGGTATAAATCCTGGCGAATAAGGCGGCACCCGGTAACGTGTCTACACTTATCTTACATTTCCCACTGACATTAGCGAGCCTGCGGGGGGGGGCGGAAGGTGTGCCGATGGATAAAACCACCACCACCACGGCGGATTGCAAAACCCTTCCATTTCGTCCGGTTCGACGCGAGATGGATGGGCTCTGATCTCTGCGTGAGATTTTAATGCGGGGATTTCTGTCGGTAAACTCTCTTAAGGAGATATAAACCGTTGATGGAACCGAGTTAATTGAAAAACTGGATATATCGAACCGTTATGGACCCCGCGCGAATGTATAATTAATTTGGGCGAACGTGATGGAAAATCTTGATGAGCTGATGTGACATTTAAGAAGATGTGTGTACCCATGCGTTATTAAAGTGAATGGTAGATGTTTTTTGGAGTTATTGGGGAATTTGAAGAGGGCTGATTTAACGTAACTGTAAAAGATATGAATTATTCTTGTTTCATAACAATGAAATGGTACGCAGGAATTAAATTAAAAAATGTCCAAGTAGAAAGTTGTGGAGAAATATGGCAGAATATAACAGGGAAATCATAAATTCCATTTTCTTCGAAA